TCGAAAAGCCAAGTCATATAAGCTTGGGTATGAAGCTGTCATTGATGACCAAAATGTGAGAAATTTTGTTTCAAACTTCATCGTGGCTCCTGAACCTCCTGAAGTGACAACAGCTCTGTTTGGGCATCATCAGTGTCATCAGGAAGGCATGTCATTGGAACAGATTCAGTGTGTTAAGCTGACTCAATATGTCATCAAGGTCGGCTCGCCGTTAATTGAATCCATCTGCAGAACCTGCAATTTGCCTCCACGGGCTGTCTCCCCGCAAAGTTCCACTGGTTTTGTACACGCATCATATCCTCAGATTCTGGCTCCCTGCATCCTGCTCCATGGCCCCAGTGGGCCAAGGCCCACAGGTTGGGAACCATAGTATCATTATCATTATTACTACCCTTATCATTTTCAGTATTAACTTTTGCATTTTGATATTTTATCCAATTGGTATTACCATCATCATCGTCGAAGTATCAATATAATTATTATCATTATTTATATCATTATCATTATAATTATCATTATTATCATATTTGTTATCCTTCCAGTTATTAACATCATTGTTATTATTATCATTATCAATATCACTATCACTATGATTATCGCAATTTTGTTATTATCATTATTATCATCATCATAATAACAATAATTATGATTATCATTAGTAGTAGTAGTAGTACTATTATCATTTTCACTATTAGCATCGTTATTATTATTGTTGGTACTGTTATTATCATTGCGTGTATTATTGCTACTAATACTTTTATCACCATCAGCAGCTGCAACATTATTTTCATCCATATCATTATCGTGATTATTGTCATCATTATAAATATAAACATTATTATTATCATCACCAACCGTATTCTTGCTTTTTATGAGCATCCGCTTGATGATCCTTTCTCCTTGTGCTCGTCCCTGCTCCGCCTTGCCGTCGTTTCACCGCCTCGCCTCCCCTTCCAGCGACGAGCGGGCGCCGGCGGGCGTGAAGCAGATGCGGGGGGCGGCCGCGGCAGGCAAGGGGGGCGCCGGCTGCTCTTCCCTCTTCAAGAATTGCCCTTTCTCCGCCCGGGACATCATGGCCGTTGTGAGAGCTGCTGCCGAGGAGAACGCGTAGAAATAAGGAACCAGAACTTGGGAAATGCTAGCCCCAGAAAATCACTTTAGATCTACAAAACACTTGTATCGCCGAGGTTGGTGGCGGGCCATAGTCGTCCCTCTGCTGTTTCCATTTTCGTTTTAGCGAGAGTCGTCTGGCGGCGGCCATGGCTTGTACGGCCATGGCTCGATCGGGCCGAAGACGATTCTCTCTGGGGGAATTTCGCAGAGCAACCCTGAGCGTCTAGGTTGCTTACTGGGGGAAGAGAGAGACACAAGGATCCGAATAAAGGCCACTTTAGTTTGATCACAGGTTAGGGTTCCGCGCCAAGGTATATAATGCCAAACACTCTGCTTTATGTTTTAAGTAGATCGAGTTAGTGAATGACAAAATGTAATTTCATACATATATATTGGGCGACAATTATATTTCTGTATATTTTCGTATTCATTAAATAATCTACCTCTTTCGTGTATATCTAAAATACATGGTATTATTGTCTCTGTGGATTTTTCTTCTTACAGACATTCCAAATCGTCATAAAAGCCATTATTATCAAACTGAAAGTATAGTGCAAAAAATATTCTAAATTGATCATTTTGATCAGGCACAAAAATACCGAGAAAATATTATGGACAAGGGAGAAACTGAGATTGAAATAAAATGAGTATCAGTAAAGATGAAAATATAAGAGAATCACCTCACAGTCAAAGTGCCGTATCATCGAAATATATGACTTTCGGAAAGCTCTCCCGGCTGCCAACCCGGACGCTTTAATGACTGGCTTGGCGCGGGATTTCTCTTCTTCCGGCTGAGCCACTCGGCCGCCAGACGCCTCTAAGAAAGGATTCTCTGGCCTCATCCTATATCAAGATCGCTATTATCACCGTCATTTGCGCTATCCTTTCACTCATGTATCATCATTTCCATGGTCCTTCTTTAAGTTTTATATCATGAATCTTAAATTAAATCAAATGAAATTACCAATTTTCTACAGGGCTCATTTGTTATCCATCTCATTGCTGAATATTGAACACATGCCGAATTTAAGTCATTTTCCCAGCATTTTCTTTCCTTTATAATCATGGTCACTATGATATGACCGGTATCTTTAACATTATTCCTACGTCTGTTATGATTTTTTTTTTATCTCGCTCATGTATATATTGTACTTTTTAATATTCAGTCTTTAAAGAATGATTTGAAAGAGTTGGTAATGGCTGGAGTGTGTTTCATAGTGCATTGTATATATCTGCGTCCCTCTCTGCTCACTCGTTCCATTGGTGGAAAGGTCCTGTTCCCACGCTGGAAAGCTGACTCACCAAGTGGCAACACCACTCGTATAGTAAACGGAATATTTATGAATGATTTGTTTTCCACGTATGTGATTGGTGGAAGGCTGTACGGTCATGGGGCTTCTTCTCTCTCTCTCTCTCTCTCTCTATCTATCTATCTATCTATCTATCTATCTATCTATCTATCTATCTATCTATCTATCTATCTATCTATCTATCTCTCTCTCTCTCTATCTATCTATCTCTCCCTCCCTCCTCCCTCCCTCCTTCCTCCCTCCCTCCCTCCTCCCTCCTCCGTCCCTCTCTCCCTCTCTCTCTCTCTATCTCTCCCTCTCTATCTCTCCCTCTCTATCTCTCCCTCTATCTCTCCTCTCTCTCTTCCTCTCCCTCCCTCTCTCTCTCTCTCATCTCTCTCTCTCTCTCTCTCCCTCTTCTCTCTCTCTCTCTCTCTCTCCTCTCCTCTCTCTCTCATCCTCTCTCTCTCTCTCTCTCTCTCTCTCTCCTTCTCTCTCCTCTCTCTCTCTCTCTCTCTTCTCTCTCTTTCTTTCATTCTCTCTCTCTCTCATCTCTCTCTCCCTCTATCTCTCTCTCTCTCTCTCCTCTCTCTCTTCTCTCTCCTCACATCTCTCTCTCTCTTCTCTCTCTCTCTCTCTCTCTCTCTCTCTCTCTCTCTCTCTCTCTCTCTCTCTCTCTCTCTCTCCTCTCTCTCCTCTCCTCTCTCTCTCTTTCTCTCTCTCTTCTCTCTTCTCTCTCTCTCTCCTCTCTCTCTCCTCTCCTCTCCTCTCTCTCTTCTCTCTCTCTCTCTCTCCCTCTCTCGCCTCCCT